AAGAGAGAAAAACTGAGTAAGTCTCAGCATATTTTAATGGGTCTTTGTTAACATCTGTACGCTTTTCTACTGTAAACTGCTAACTGCTTTGACTTCAAGTTGAATCGGGTTTGCCTTTGGATGTGTCATGATGACCATCAAAGCATATGGGAGACCTGAAAAAGAGTCTAGTCTTGCTTGGGTAGAAAGCAACCTTTATTCACAACTCGGATGTGAAGAATAATACAATTTTGGGAAAAGGCCAGTAAATAGTTGCTAGCCAATATTTGTATTTATTTAAAAAAATGCAGACTTTAGTATTAAAGAACGATACAAGTGGAAGCTTAGTAGATAGAGTAGACTTTTTGTAATGCTAACAAGTGATCCTTTGGTATAGGTTCTTAAATTGGATTTATTACTTGCTGTATTAGTAAACTGGATTAAATATTTTAATGTAGTTAATGTATGTCTCTGTAGTGGAAGATTTTTTTTTTCCTTGCATTTTTACTGGAAATTACTTTTCTCCCACATTTCTAGGTGAATATTTTCGAACTGATGAATTTGCAGATCAATCTCAGGAAAATCTGAGCTCTTCATCACTCAGAAGAAAGCTGTTTTTGGAAGAAAATGGAAGCGTGTCTGAGTGTTTGTCCCCTTCTCTGCATAGTCCATGTGGTGGTCAGCCACTCGGGGTGCTCTGTTCAATAGACATCTCTCCAGTCCGGTGCAGAAGCCCTCTGGAAACATCTAGTTCAGTAAGGAGCCTGTTCTGGGGGCTGGATGGGCTGTGACTTACCCAGCACAAGAGTCATTCTCAGAGCAGGCTAAACCCATTCTGCGTTCTAACAGACTTCACTAGATATACCACCATGTCTCTCAGAAGCTACGACTGCTTTATGAGAGAGATGTCAGACCAAAGGGTTATGGTATTTTCAAATTTCAAATTCAGAAAAAAGTGAACAAAAAAAAGTCTTGAAAGAATTTATTACTCTTTTTATTATATGAAATTATTATGTTTTGCTGCTGTTCTCCTGTATAGAAGGAATTATGCTTTAATTGCAATTAATTAAAAGGAAGGAGTTGATATATATACCAATGCTTCCTGAAACCATCTTGAAACCATTATTTTAAAATGTATATACAAAAAAAGGGCCTGTTTAAATCCATGAACTGCTGTCTAAAATACTACTTGATATGAACAGGTGATAAAATTATTTCCCTTGTAGTTCATAAGCTCATTTATGGTGGAAGAAATGACTTGTGAGTCCTTGAATGTAGTGCTAAATATACTCTTTTCTTTTCCTTTGACCAGAGATTTCAGATTAACAGGTATTTGTTAGGACACAGAATGCAATGACGTTTTGTAAATTAAGCAAGATGAATCTTACTCTTAGGTGGACACAGCACAGCTAAACTGGTTTAGGTGGTATGATTTCATCTGTTTGGTGGCTGAAGTGAATAGAAAAAAAACCTAAAAAATAATTATACTGCTAGAAGTGACTTTTCTTTTTGTACCATACTCCTTAAGCAAGATCACAACCACTGTTCTTTTTTTTCTTAAGGAAAAGCTGCCTCAGCTGCTGCTGAGTTAAATAATTCAGATAATGTGGATTCCATTAAAATATAAATAGTGGCTGGCTTTCATCTGCATTGGTATGAGTAAGAGATTGAGAGTAAATACTCGACTGTATACACAGATAGCATTAGTTCTCTGTTTAGGCTTCTCGTAGTTCTTCAGTATAGCAGTTATTATGGTCTTAGTTGGTATTATGTGACACTTTGAGTCTATCGCTCCTTTCCTGTATGGAGGCATAAAGTCCAAGTGAAGAGCTGCCACTGGAATATTTAAGATAAACTAATGATAGAGATTGTCATTGTACACTTGTACAGGATTCGTTTTCCTCAGTGCTGCCATATTAAGCTTTTTAGTTAGAACATTTTTTCTAAGTACGTATTAGTCAAAATTTACATTATGAAAATACGCTTTTTTCTTTTTTCTTTTTGAAACTGGAGGGTCAATTTTCGTCAAGTCCTATTCAGGGAGGAGCAAGGGCTTATAGTCTGGGAAGTATAACCAGTCCCACGTTTCCAGAGGGATCTCCTGCACATAATGGTTCTCCTACCTTTTCACCAGTTGCTTTTCACATAAGAAAGACACCGCTGTCAGGTATGGTTTAATTGTATATGTATTATTCTTTCTTGATTTACAATTTTTTATTATAAAAACCGCTGCATTTTTACTGGAGCTTTTCCTCCATTAGGGGACAAATTACTGTGCTTGACAGACCAGCAATCTCCTATATGGCACATTTACTGTTTAGCAGTGAAATATCTTAATGATGTGAAACAGTGAAGTGTATCTGCTTGCAAAAATGAACTAGGGAAAATATTTTAGAAGAAAGAATTGAGACCTAATAGGAATGAAAAAAAAATTAAAGGATTAATCTCGTGCGAGGACAGAGGGTTTAAAGCCATGTGCTTGAACTAAATCAGGTCACAATTCTGATTTGGCCCAACCTGAAGCATTCTAATTGGACAAAAAATGTTTCGCTTGAGTTTCCACATCATGTGATTGTGAAGATTATTTGAAATGAAACTGACTGCTGAAGATATCAAAAACATTTTGTGTCCTTGTTCCTCTAGAAAATGTCAGTGTTTCATGTTTTGTCCATTACATGATTTTGCTCTGATGAGCCTTGTGGTATTTCAACACGATTATATGTGGCAGTCACATAGGTGTTTTCTCGCTTACTTGAGTTTCTTTAAAACTACTGCTGCCCCAGATTTTTAGCATATGTGTATTGATATTTGTTTGGACAAAAGCCACAGAACCAGCCTTCACACATTTTCCTGTGAACGCTGCAGTGTTGACATTTGAAAATGCAAGGCCTCCAATGCAGCAAACCATCCATAGGAAAAAAATACGGTGGTGAAAATGGGATAAAGACTTGCCTTTACAACGATAATTTAAATGTATTGGTCGTTTGTTGTTGGTTTTTGTTTGTTTGTTGTTTAGTTTGGTTTGGTGTTTTGGTGGGTTTTTTTGGTTGGTTTCTTATTTTGACTTTTTTTTTTTTTCCCCAAGAAGGCCTTTGAGCTCAGAGACAGTGCTCAGTGAAATACTACGTAGCTGGCTATACTTCAGAGGACTGCAGGGGTTTGAGGATGATGTCTTTAACCCTACCTGATAACTGATAGAATAACTTTGTTGTTTTTTTACAGACCAAAGAAAGTTTACATTTCGTTCTCCAGATATTCCTCCTCCCTCAAATAGAATGACACCCCCAAGTACAAGAAGTCCTTACATAGAAGGCTGTTCTCCAATTAAAAATTGCTCTCCTATGAGGCTGGGAGCATATAGAGGAACTGCCCAATATCAGACTTCTGTCATTAGGATACCGATTGCAGTTGAGAATCACGGTGAGGATGAGGAAGACAAGGAAAATGCTGCTCCAGCAGAAGCTCTGTTCCCAGAAATGGATAATGGGATAAACTTATGTCAGCAAGACGGCGATACCTTTGCACGTGGTACACGTCTGGTGGTAGCAACTGTGTCTATTGCACCAGATCGCTCGGAAACTTGTCATCAAAGGTTGTCATTTCAGGATACAGAAGGCTCAAAGGAAAATAATACTGTGGATATGGCTGATGCAGCTGAAGTGTCAGAGGAAAACGCTTGGATGAAAGAAACGATTGGCAATAGCAATGAACCAATGGCCAGCTTCATGACAGGGATTACTTTCAGTATTGAAAACTCACGCATGTGCATGTCACCTCTTGCAGAAAGTAGTGTAATCCCTTGTGACAACAGTAGTATTCAGGTAAAAATCAAACTCTTGGTTTGCTTCTCTGTAAAACTGAGCTCAACATACATGGCTCCAGTATGCCATCCTGGAGTTGTCTGTTTTCTTTTATAGGATGTGGTATGCAGGTGGTATTGTGACTTGTATTCCTTCCCCCCATCTCCTTTTTCCTCTCTCAGTGGAGTTAGCATAGCAATTATAAATGATTTTTGTGTTACTATGTACAGTAGTACATTTAACTTAATCCAAGTGAATTCTGATGGAGCAGTTTACAATTTGCTTTTGTTATTAACTGATGGTAGTTGGCTTGTTGGATTAAGTTCTGTTAATCACAAGTCATATCAGGTATGAGAATCTGAGTTTATTGGTGTTAAACTGCAGTGCATTTTTAAAGCTCTGCTTCTTGATTTCAGGTGGACAGTGGTTATAACACACAGACTTGTGGAAGCAGCATTATGGATACTGTGGGGGCTGAAAACAGCTGCAGAGAAAATGATGTGAATACTAACGTGTTCCAGAATAGATCTCAGCTGCTTAGAACAAAGGTAGGCATTAAGTTGTGATATGACAGTGCTAGGCTTCACATCCAAAGCACCCATTCCCTATCCTACTCAGCTTGAGGGAGCCTGGGAGGGAGACACTGTCAAGTGATAACAGAGGCATGATCATGTAGCATCATTTCAAGTATTATGTTGAAAACAAGGACTAAATGCAGGATAATTGCAGCTGGCAATAAAGTTGTATTCTGGGACAAAGCCAAAGGTAGTTTCAAAGGAAACTGAAGTATGTCCATAAAAGGTAGTTGTGAGGCTGCTCATGGCTTCTGATGTATTGCAGTCTGTCTCTTATTTTTGTTTCTGTTGTTCTTGCTTCTATTTTCATTGCTAAGTTTTTAAAAGTATGCCTGTGGAGAAGCACATTTTTGGGGAAAAGCTGTCCACTACTTCTTATAAACTAGCTGCAAGACTGTACCTGGCATGCTGGCTTGTGGGGGAAATTTCTGCTTGGGTACAGCCTTTTGATTACAAGCCTTCTGATGACCTATCTTAAAAACAAACCAACCAACCAAACTACAAAAGACAGTACATATCTAACAAAACTCCCAAGCTTTTAACCTTGCGACTGATAGGAAGGTGTTTTGCTTCTTCCAGAGAATGAGAAGCAAATAAAAATTTTTAAAATTCAAAATTGGGATAACTGTGCCCTTACAAGAACAAGTGGATGTTTTATCTTCTAAAAATACCCATCTGCTCTTGGGTTTTGCCCCAGCCACCCTATTCAGCATGGATTATACGTGTGAAAGTATTCGTCAGAATTAGTCGTCTCATATCAAACCTGTCCTCAAGACATGCAGCTGTGTTCTCCCACTGCTAGTCTTTGAATTGCTAGGTCCTGCCTGAGACAAATTTTGCATTAGGATTTAAATGCAGAGGCATTAAGTACTTCATTCAGTTCACAAGAGAGAAGCCACAGAGAATGGAATGGAAAAAGCTTGGACATAATTGGGGAATGACCTATTAGAGAGCAGTG